AACAATCTTGAAATCAGAAGGCCACAATGAACGTACTTAACATTACTGAACCATAAACTTAAAAAATGGTTAGGAGAGTAAATTGTATATTATATGTATTTCACCACAATTAAAATAATTAAATCTTTTTTGATTCCAGTTTCTCCATCTCATTTTTCTACTCTTCCATGTAAATAAAAATGCTTGTTGGGTGATCATCGTTTTGTTTTGTTTTGTTTTGTTTTTGAAACAAGAGTCTCACTTTGTGGCCTTCAGTAGAGTGCTGTAGCAGCACAGCTCACAGCAACCTCAAGCTCCTGGGCTCAAGCAGTTCTCTTGCCTCAGCCTCCTAAGTAGCTGGGACTACAGGTGCCTGCCACAACAGCCCTGCTTTTTTTTTTTTTTAAGAGACAGAGTCTTATTTTGTCGCCCTCAGTAGAGCGCTGGAGTGCTATGGCGCCACAGCTCACAGCAACCTCCAGCTCTTGGGTTTAGGCAATTCTCTTGCCTCAGCCTCCTGATTAGCTAGGACTACAGGTGCCCGCCACAACGCCTAGCTATATTTTTGTTGCAGTTTGGCCAGGGCTGGGCTTGAACCCGCCACCCTCAGTATATGGGGCTGGCGCCCTATCCACTGAGCCATAGGTGCCATCTATGGCCCAGCTATTTTTAGAGACGAGGTTTCACTCTCACTCAGGCTGGTCTTGAACCTGTGAGCTCAGGCAATCCACCCTGCCTTGGCCTCCCAGAGTGCTAGGATTACAGGTGTGAGCCACCATGCCCGGCCTTGTAGGGTGATCTTAACTCTGTTTCTAATTCCTCTCTTGTTTTCTCTATTAAACCTTCTTGAATCAGGTTTTTTGTTTTTGTTTTTTTGAGACAGAGTCTTACTCTGTGGCCCTTGGTAGAGTGCTGTGGTGTCACAGCTCACAGCAACCTCCAACTCTTGGGCTTAAGCGCTTTTCTTACCTCAGCCTCCCAAATAGTTGGGACTACAGGCACCCACCACAACGCCTGGCTATTTTTTGTTGCAGTTGCCACTGCTGTTTTAGCTGGCCAGGGCCTGGTTTGAACCCGCCACCCTCAGAATATGGGGCCAGCACCCTACCCACTGAGCCACAGGTGCTGCCCTCCAATCAGGTTTTTGTCTCCTTTAGGTTCCTGAAACTACTCGTCAAGGTCACTGACTCTACATTGCCAAATTCAAGGTCTATTCATCTTCACTTGACTTCTCAGCAATACATAGCATAGTTGACCACTTCCTTCTGAAAACACTTTCTCTATCACTATACTGGGTTCTCTTGGTTTTCCTCCTACCTCACTGCCCACTCCGTTTCCTTTATTCGTTCTTCTATCTGCTTAATGTTGGAGTGTCCTGGGCTCAGTCCTTGATTATCTTCTCCAGCTACATGTACTCCCTTGGTGACCTCAACCACTCTCATGGCTTTAAAAATGACATCGGCTAATGATGGTCAGATTCACATCCCAGCCCAGAACATTCTTCCTAACCATACATATTTGAATAGAAAACTACCTACTCAAAATCTCCACTAAAACTGAACTCCTGATTCCCCCCACCCACCTGCTCTAGCCTCTGCTCTCCTCCTCCTCCCAATAATGCCATCTATCCAGGCAAGCACTCTTTATCTGAGCAGTCTCATCAAACCCATTAGGTGACTGACCCTGACTCAACTCACGCTGCTTGGCCAAAGTCACCACTATTGCCGAGTAACTCCCTCCAATGGCCTCCTGGTAAGGTCTCCCTGCTTCCACCCTTACCTTTTTACATCTATTTCTAACATAGCAGCCCAAGTGATTCTCTCAAAATGTCAGATTGCCATTTCTCTTCTCAAACCCTGTAATGGCTCCCCATTTGTCACAGAGTAAAATCTACAATCCTTATAATGGCCCACCAGACCCTTCAAAGTTTGCCTTTTTCCCATTTTATCTCTGACTTCCTTCCCTCCCTTTCTTCCTCTACCTTGATCCAGACATATCACTCTTCTGGCTCTTCTTAAATATGCCACCCATGCTCTTGTTTTATACTCTTTGTTCTGGTCCCTCTGCCTGGAATGCTCTTCCCAGATGTCTGCTTGTGATGCTCTGCCCTCTTTCTACTCTACTTTTTCTTTTCCATAGCATTCAACATATTCTCATATTTTGTAGAATTTTTTACAGGTTACAAGGTTACACAGTATTTCCTTAAAGTGGTTCTATTTCCAAAATATTCTTTAGATTAAATTTATAGTTAGTCAACACTTAACTGGGTGCAGAGTGCCCTAGGTCCTTAATTGGTACCATGAAGTCCAGTTGCTCAACTTCTAACAGTAAGTCTTAAAAATAAACAATCTCCAGATGTCAACACATAGAGTCATCTGGCCTTATTAAAAACTAACCAATAGCACCCTGCATAAAATGGTTGTTCAGATTAACAGTGACTGCCACCACCACTATCCACCATATTTGTTATGTTCACTGATACATTCTGAGAGCCCAGACTGGTGCCTGAGACACTGTAAATAACAAATATTTGTTATATAAATAAATGATTTTTTTAAGGCTTAGAAATGTAGGTGCTCAATAAAACTTGGTATCACTATTAAGACACAGGCTCAAGCTTGGAGTCTACAGTGTGGTTAAAAGCAGAGGCACGCTTGGAGCTGGGCTTTAGGAAAATTAACATTAACAGTGTTCAGGACTGTGCAGGAGGTAGAGTACAGGCCTGCTGGGGGTATGGGAAAATGGAGGCAGAAGGTGAATTTGGTACTTTTCAACCATCTCAGGCCTCTTCCCTCACTTTTCTAAGTCTTATCTTTAGAAGACCCAATATTCAACACATACTCTGTGCCTGGTGCCGGGCTTACAAGAAGCAGTCGTGTCCAGTTTCCTGGAGAACTCCTACCAATCCTTCAATACCCTGCGGTACCCTCTGCCAGTAAAGTCTCATAAAACACTCTGCTCCTCACATTAGTGGAGGCGGCAGGGAGGCTTCTCAGAGGAGGGTTAACTTGTGCAAGACCTGTGCAGTAGTTTCCCCAGCATAAAAGCAGGTCGACGATCTCCAGGTAGCGCTAAAGGAGGCTCAAAGAGCCCACCCCATTTCCCCGAACATCCTTCCAATGCCCTCCAATGCAAACACACACACGGAGCCCCCACAAACACAGACACACAACCAACCGTCCTCTTTCCAGTCCCCACACGGGCCCTTCAAAGGGTCTCCTCCCGGGTACCACTCAGACCCGCCCCCGCCAGCCGAGCTCCCGGGACAGGAAAAGTCTCACAGAGCAGCAGCCGAGGCGCTGCTCACCCGGCGCTAGGCGCCATGTTGGCCCCGCCCCCTTCTGGGAGAAGGTCCTGGCTGAGACGAAGAGCCTTCGCTGCCCTTGCCCTTGCCAGAATAAGCCCTATATGTTCACAGCCTGAAATTATATATAAAATAAACTTTGTTTCTATATATATGTATGATAAATACGGCCTCTTGTTCAAATTACTTCAATTTATCCTTCACTATTCCGCAGCCAAGACCTTCAGAAAGCGCCACAAAACACAGGCATCCCCGCCCAGAGCAATAGGGCTCCACCCCCTTTCAGGCAGGCTCTGCGCATGTGCAGACCGTGGCAGGCTGGATTTCTTTCTTTTTTTTTTTCTTTTAAGGTCGCGGCCGACTGCCTCTGAATAATTTAAAGGGCCCCTGCCTTCCGGAATTTGGTTTGAAGGCAAGAGGTAGTTGTTTCTGGACATCGCTTTGTCATGGGACCTGTGCGGTTGAGAGTATTGTTGTTCATTGTGGCCGTGTACGGGGCTTGGGCTGGGACGCCGAAGGACGCCGATGACACAGAACGCATGCCCAGCAAATGCGAAGGTATCTAAAGGGGGCAGCTCCTACTTTTATCGCCCTGCCACACTTCCGTAGTCCAGGGCGGACCTAAGGGACTGTGATGGGTGGGTTGCCCGACCTCCTGGAAGGCCTGAGGGAGGTTCTGCTGGAGCTTGGTGGAATTCGAATAGGGTCAAGGGAAGGAACGGATAGTGCCGCCCAAAAACTACGGCACTACAATTCCCGTGACGCATCCGGCGGAAACCCGCTTTGTCTTGCTGGCTCTGCCGCCCAGTGGATTGTGGGAACTGTAGTTGAAGGACTGCCTGCCCGGACTAACTCTACTGAGCATCTTTAGTGAGTTTCCCCGATGTCACCAGACTTAAATCTGGAAAGCCTGCAGGAGCCGGGTGTGAGGCTCATTATCTTGTGGACATCCTGTGCAGAGACGCTCCCAAATTACAGGCGCCACTCCTCTCCTGAGGGGTGTGAGGTGACTAACTCAGCCCTTCAAGCTCATAAACAAAAAAAGAAGCCACAGAACTAGTAAGCTGTCACATCCATGGTGAGGCTTTGCAGAGAGTGTGTACTTCCGGATTTTACAGCAAGCAGCATCTTCCGTGCCAGAGTTAGCGTGGGGCCCAGTTCAGAGGGAGCACTTCAGAGCTGGATCATAGACTGCTCTGGTTCCTCCAGCTTGTTGCTTTCCTGACTTTACATTTCTTCCCGGGAGTCTTTTTCTCTTTGTCTTATCGCCCAGAGTTTCTTAAGACTTGCATGTAGGGCTTGGCGCTTATAGCTCAACCGGCTAAGGCGCCAGCCACGTACACCTAAGGTGGCGGGTTCAAATCCCCAGCCCGGACCCGCCAAACAACAATGAC